GTCGATTAGAATAGGAATCCTTATCCGCCACATATGGCAATTGTAACCGACTAGGATTAGTTTCAGATCGTAACCTCGCCCCCCGGACTATATAAGGCGGGTAAGGGGACCCTCTAAAATGATCTCTCATTAACATACAAAGAATACAATCGAGACGCAGGGCGTAGGTATTACGCCTTCTTGGCGGCGAACTCGGATAAAACCTCGTGGTCATCTTTGCGCCACCGTCTTGTTTGGGACTTGCGACTTGTTCCGCCGATAATCTACTACCTTGGGCATACCCCTAGGTAGACTGCCGACCATATTTCGTCGACAGGGAGCGGTATGGAAGCTTAGAGAATGACTGCGGATGAGTCGTTCGGGGCTTTGCTTTAGAGGACGACCTGTATAGCAGAGTGCGTTGACACGGCGATAGCGCACATCACGTAGTTGTAGCACCGTCCGCCATCTCCTCCACCACATCCTCGCAATCCGCAAAGATCTCACAGAGCGCACCTCCTTGCTTCTCCCGACCACCTTCTTGGTGGCTGGATTTGAACATGGATCTGCAAACGTCACCGCGCTCATTTGCGTTCAACATGGAGCGGCCCAACAGGCACAAGATCACCGGGTTGGTGTCTGAGCCTTCTTGTTTAGGCTCTTGGTTTAAGATACCAGCCGAAGAATGGCTGCAGTGGAGACTCAGTCACCTTTCAGCAACTTCTTTTGTGATATTCTTCTCAATTGATTAATTGTCAACGATGGTGCTTGAACATCATCTAATCAATCGCCTTGCTTTCATTATTTGTTGCTCGACTAGTGTCAAACAACATAAACTAAAAGTAACGCGAGAGGCTATCGGAGAGAGGGGGGAGTTGTTATTAATTAGAATTGATAGCAAAACAATCGGAATCTCCAAAGACAAACTTGAAGCAGTAGAGACAGCAGCCGCCATTAGAATAACCGCTGGACCGGCTTATCGGTTGGATCCTGGATTTGATTAGGTAGTCGCATGATCAATGTATTTTTCTTATCATAACATTTTTATCAATTATGAATTAATAGCATTTTTTTCAAGTCATATTGTCTTGTTGACTTGTGCCATTCATTCTTAGCCTTTTCAATTTGTGTCATTCATTCTTATAGACACTAAACATGTAATCACCCTCAGATACATCAAGTCCTATTGCCTTGTTGATCTATGTGAATTCTGAAGGTACCGTAATATCTAAGAGGGGGTTGAATTAGTCAACTTAAACAAGGACCTTTACAAAATCTGCTTATCAAAACTTATGTAAAATATCCATCTAGATGTGCACTACGATTTTGCTTAGTGTTTGCTATCTCTATAGTAAAAGAGTTTTGCATCTATGTTCCGATCATACCAATTAAACTAGCAAGATAGACTAGAAACGGGAAAGAACATAACCTAAAGAATACATGTAACTAAAGGGTTAGATATACACAAACTCCTGATAATGATATTTTTCTTCAGGTATCGAGAAGCTCACGCTCCCCTTAGTCCTTGCTAAAGCTCCTCGATGGGGCGGAGCTACATGCACTGCAGTGGGTGCAGCCACACCCATGCAAACAAATAAAAAATGTGATAAATGTTAAATTTTATTACCATATTTGCACCCACACATAAATTCTTGCACCTACAAGGCAAGCACATATCCCTCGAATTTGCTCTAGTCTGCCACATGCTTGCAGATAACCGTGATTACCAGCGCATACAATCTCATTCACTCTAACTCGATTACTCAAAACCTTAGCTGAAAATTCCATTTTCTTTCTACCTCGACACCTGTCTTGATATTTCTCATGTTTGGTTTTTTTTTTTTTGTAATAACAAAGCTTATGCAATATGTATGTTGGAATCGTAATTTGTTATATCTTCAAGATGTAATTTCTATGATTGAGGGCACTTTGGAGAAATCAAATATTGAACTCGCTAAAATTCTATGTACAAATCTAGGATCTAGACAGAAGAATTTTTATTATCTAGAATTCAGAATCTGAAATCCCTATCTACTCCAGATTTCAAGAATCCCTAAGGGTCCGTTTGGATGTAGATATTAGAGACTCGAATTGAATTGGTACCATTACCAAATCAGGCTAGTATTGAAATGGACTAAATACCAAATCTGTTGTTTGGATGTAGATGAATTTGCTAGCTGGAATCGAGTGACACATCAAATACCATTTCATGTTTGGATGTACACCTCCAGGAATTCACTATCTTCTTCCCCAATCCCCACAGCTCGCACGACGGCCTCGAGCGCAGAGATGGAGGCGGCCTTGGCCCCAGCCATGGGCACGCGCAGGTGGAGGCGGAGGTGGCCTCGGCTTCGAGTGCGCAGGGGGAGGCGGCCCCGGCCCCGGCTGCGACGAGCTCGGGCGTGGAGGCGGTGGTGGCCATGGCCCTGGGCCTGGGCCCGGCGGGTGTGGTGGTGTGCCGCGCCGCTGGCCATGGGGAACAGAAACGAAGCTCGCGCCGCCGGCCATGGGGAAGAAGGGAGGTGCGCCGCCGGCCATGGGGAAGAAGAAGGGGAGCTCGCGTCGGATGGGGAGGATCTCGGCCATGGAGGAGCTCGGCCCCGGTCCGGCCATGGGGAAGCTCGACCGGCCCGGCCATGGGGAAGAAGAAGGGAGCCTGTGTCGGATGGGGAGGATCTCGGCCATGGAGGAGCTCGGCCCCGGCCCGGCCATGGGGGAGCTCGACCCCGCCAGCCATGGGGGAGCTCGACTCCACCGGCCATGGAGGAGCCCGCCTTCGTGACCGCTCGCTCGACCCCGGTCACGGATGCGCTCATCTCCAATTCCGCCCAATACGGAGGGTGCGGGCTCTGTATTGGGGGTGACTGGGTGCAGTTGTAGCCAATACCTCTTGGCATTGAAGGTGATTTCCAAATTTCAATACCTAAGACATCCAAACAGCGGCATTTGGTGCTATCCAATATCAATACCAATTTCATAGCTTCAATGTCTACATCAAACGCAGCTTAAGGGATTCAAAAGCACAACATGGTGTAAAGAGAGGGAAGGGGCAAACCAAAGTCAAAATCTCTGTTGCGACCAGTGTAATACAAGTTCTGTGGATCCTCACGCACAGGCTATTATGGTTTTCCGATTTTTTAACGTACACGTGCAGCGCATTCCGGGCCAGCCCACCAAGCCACCTGCGCTGGTCGCCATGCGCGACCAGTGGCGCGTTATAATAATCTTCATCGGTACGGAGACAGGAACGCATGCTAATGCAAGCCCAACCAACCGAACCAAAACTGTGCTAATTCTGCAATGGGTTTGGTCCAAATCCAGGATGCACAAATATAGTTGATCGGTGATCAACTTCAGTCTCCTTAGGTATAGAGGTGATTATAGAAGACTAGAAACAAAATTGATCAGCAAACACATACCAATATCAACATACCGTCATCATACCTTACAAAATACCATTGCAGAAGCAATTGTTATGATATGAAATACGAAACTTTAGGCATAAAAAATTACAGATGACACTATAAGTGTATATGAGCGACGAGGCTATAGTGCCATCAATCTCACAGAGGCCGGTGCATCAAAACATACTCCTTTGTTCTAAATTATAAGTCATTTTGACTTTTTTAGTTATATATCTAGACACATGTTAATATAGATATATAGCAAAATGAATATGTCAAAAAAGTCAAAGCAATTTATAATTTGGAACGGAGGGAACACAATCTTAATAGCATGCCACTTCAGAACTAACAACCACAAAGCTACAGTAGCATTACTATTTCTAAACATTCAAAGGAACAGGATGATAGGAAATGAGTGACCAAGCGACAGTAACTTCCATCTTACAAAAGCCAACATCAAGCACACCATGGCTTCTCTTGTCTTCCTTAGGCTTGAAAACCAATTCATCTTTCATAACCTTTTTTCCACATTCAGACGCCTCCCACTACTTGATGCAAACTTTTAGATTTCCCCTATTTTCAATAGAAACAACAGGCCAGGACATCTCAATCTCGCCATCACCACTGACATGAAATTTCTCAACAACAGAGTCAAGTAAGATGATTTTCTTGTGATGAGTACTTCTGAAATTTTTGTCACGACGGCCAGTTGTAAAGGCAGAAAATTGGCCACGGAAACTGTCTAGCCATGAAACATCAATGACTCGCACAAATATTGTGGCCTCCACAGATCTAACAATATGGCCAAGTGTAAATTCCAACGTGCTAAGCTTGCTAGTTTTGTAACAACAGAACAGGTTGGAATAGCCTGTCTCACCGGTTAGTAATGGCACAGCTAGAAAGCTCAAATCTTTATCCTCAGATTCAGACATTCAGTAGCGCCCTTCACTGTCAACTTAACCTACGCGCTCTTCTCGGACGGTAAAAAGGGCTCGTCTAGGCAGCCGCGAAGACGCAAGGCCATCTCCTAGGTCGCACTGCTGCGTTAATTTTGGTTGTTTTCTATTTATGTAATATTGAAACTAGAGGTTTACTGCTAGGATGATCCAAATACGGCTGTTTTAGATTAACCTCCTTCAGTGCTCGAGAGGCGCGTTATCTGTATGTTTGAACTCTTCTTCTTAATACAATGATACGTAAATCTTTTACGTATTCGAGAAAAAAAGCTGTCAGCTTAACCTCAATGGAGACATGACAACAGCACGGGTTGGACCTGACAGTACTAAATATCGATCCTGCACGCAACACCACAAATAATTAAGAGGTTAACTCGAGTGAAAGAAGAGGTACACATTGAGCATGACAATTAGGAAGGGCATAACTTGGATGGAAAATTAGATAGCTGAGTCACAGTATAGCAAGAGACAAACAGGGCAGAACTTGGGTGGAAAATTAGATAGCTGAGTCACAGTATAGCAGGAGACAAACAGAACGATGAAAGACAACTGAGAAATATTAACCTCTGCGGTGAGGGTTTGGCATCTGTCCCTTGTGCGGCTGAACATAATATTGCGATTGTTGTCAATGCAGTCACGCGCGGCAATGACACTGAACACATCAACTGGCCACTGTAGGCTCCTCTTCATTCTTGCAACTTTGACTGAAAAGACCTGTAGGGTGCCCATGGGGGGAGGCACTGTAACCCGGTGCAGGCTCATCTGTGAAACGCATGGGGCCGAGCCTTGCTGCACGTAGTTGTAGGACATATCAAAATAATTAAGATCAATTCAGATAGCAGCACTAATATATATATAACATCAGTGACGCTAATTAGTATTAGCATGTGCAGGCATCACTGCTATTCTACTTTACTGGTGAAGTTGTGGTCCTGCCACATCTATGATGTATAATTTAATATATGTTATCCTAAAGAAGAAAAGATCCTACCACTTATTTTGCTATTACTGATTAAGATGAGAAAACACTTCGTAGGTAGTAGTATATTAGGTAGTAGCACTAATTCTAGATTTCTAGGAGGTATGAACTATTGGATATGCTTTAACTTAACCCTATTCGTTAATAATCCTAGTTACGGCACAGAAAGGGATGTTTGATGGGAAACTCACTGGTGTCATCGAATGAGCTGAAGTTAGCGGAATATACAGCGATCCACCGCCTGCAATACTCCCTAGCCACCCATGCTTCATAGTCTGATCTTTTCATCTCTAGATCCTCTTCTTCTGGCTCCGCTTGCTTCCTCTGAATCTCATCGTCATGCCTCAACTCGGCCCTCAACCGGTCCATCGCTGACTCGTCAGCAAGCGCTGCCTCCATCTGCCGCCGCGCGGCCTCTGCCTTGCTTTCCCCACCCATGCTAGGAAGATCCACGATCAACAGTCCCAAGACGGTGCCTGGACCATCCTCTTCCACCACCCTCAACGCGTTGCTCTTATCAGATTTTGCCAACAAGTACGTCGAGTCGTTTTCTTCCATCATAACAGTGGTGTCAAACATGCCCACTGCCAAGGTAGAGCATGGATATAATGATGGTCAATCGTCTTCTCGGCGAGTCCCTCCTGCGCCAATTCCTCCTCTTCAACAACAGAAGGCTCCCTGGATTCGACCTCGCCGCCGGCACCGCCTCTGATTCTACTCCAGATACCAAACCCTATTCTTCTTCTGGCCTTTTGCGAGTCCGGGTCCGGGTGCGTTTGCGGATTTGCCGTTTGGTAGCAAATACAGAGTCCGTGCTTGAATCGCCCAAGTCGTGGGCTGGATACGCAGTTAGCCTTATACAATTGGCCCAGCCTGCTAGGGCAAAATCACGTTGGGACGCGAAGCCCGCATCGTGGGCTGCTTTGTCTTCGGCCGAGAGAGAGTACGTGGCTTTCGTTTCTGGGCTTCATTTTCTTCTTTCGGCCTCGTTTCCTCTCATGGCTCGCCGGTCGCTGCTTCGCTGGATTGTGGGCCCTCGTCGGTTTTAGAGAATCTCGAGGAAACCAGATCGACTTGGACCTTGCCTTTATAACTTGGTGAGAAAAACTGCTCAAGTTTTAATCTGCAGGTCATGATGAAAATTATCAAGAATATACAGGAGTGAACGTTCATGGCCCATAAAAGGAATCATGCGTCTCGAATCGAGAATGAAAATGGACGTGTGATCATTTTTCCTCGGGTCCTGAGGTTGGTGTGTTGTTGTTGTTTTTTCTTTTTGTTCGTTTAAAAAAAAAGGACTCGATTTGCCGTATCATACATTGGCAATAAAGCTTCTTTTACATTGACGTGCAAGATTGATGACAGGTTTAATTTAACCACCGTAGGGCAAATTGTTCATTTGTTCCAAAAGAGCAGGCAGGAAACGAAAAACGAAGCATGCGGAGAAGGTGAGAAGTGGAATTAGGCTATGTTATTGTGTGATCTGGTGCTCGGGGGCGGCAAAATGGTGTAGTACGGCGAACGACTGTGCGTCGGGCAAAGGAAGAGCTTCCAGACCGAGAAAGGACCAGCCAGTTTGAACCTGTGAAACGTTTTACGCTCTGATCTCCACTAAAATTTCTGGATAACATTTAAAGCTTGCCAGGAAAATTAAGATAAACGAAATGTGATTCGGTAATTCTAGGTGTAGGGCGTCCCGCGGATTTGACGCTCCCGATGGTGGACCGCCGACGACGCTGCATCGCTGCGTCGGCGGCCGCACTCTCCACCGCGCCTCCCTCTCCACCGCCCCTCCGCTCCGCCAGTGGGTATCTCCACCGCGCCAGAGCGCAGCAGCCGGTCTTCCTCCCTCTCCACCGCGCCTCTCGCACGATGCAGCCTTCTAGAGCGTGTGGACTCGCCGCGGCCTTCTCCACCGGAGCGGCGAGCTTTACACCGGTGAACTCAACACGCCGACGAGCCTCCATTCCCAAACAGCAAGGAGATATTACTACCGAAAGCGCGTGCGGTTGCAAACGATATGTTTCAAGTGTTTTGAGTTACGTTTGAAGTGTTTTTTATCGGTGTGCAAAAATAGATCGAGATGTTGCATATGTTTCAATGACTATACACGTATGTTTCAAGTGTATTTTCTGACTGTTTCATCTGTTTCAGACGTATGTTGTAAGTGTTTTATCTAAATGTTGCATATATATATGAATGGTGAAAGCTTATGTTTTTAAGTGTTTTCGATTGCTTCAAACGTATGTTTCAAGTGTTTCATCTTGATATTGCATATATTTTACAATGGCTACACGTGCTTTTCTAGTGTTTCAGACATATGTTGCAAGTGTTTCAGTTGTTTTGGATGTATATCGCAAGTGTTTCATCTTAATGTTACAAAAGTGATCTAGCGTTGCACATGTTACAATGGGACCCACCTATCGTGCGTGCATGTGCGTGGAAAGCGGAGGAAGATGGCGGCAAGGGCTCGGTCGGTCCTGTCTATGCGCGTGCAGCAGGTGCGAGCTATCCCTCTATTATGAGTAGAACCAGATAACTTTTACAAGGTTGGGTGCGAGTCATGAAACAAGATAATTTTACAAGTTGGTGGGAGCTGTGTCCGAACGTCTCTTTGGACCGGACGTCCGGGCGCTAGCGTCTCCCAATATGATTAGTCTTGGGACAGATTTTGATAGACAGATATCAATTTTAGAGCACCAAAAGATTCATAAGCATAAGCACACAGCAGTACTGGAGGCAACATGGTCACAGAGGGGGAAATCCAACAAAAAACCTCATGCACTGGATGCAATTCAAGCGTTCCAAACCAATTTCAGACCTGGCTCCATTGGTTTCCAAGTTTAACATCTCCACTAAGGTGCCTGGCTGCCTGCAGATGCGATATGCGTATGCCTTGCTCTCCCTGCTCTGGACCAGGGAAGGGGGGTCTGCATTCTGCGAGCGGGTACAGGGCAAAGTGGCCTGCGAAGCGATACATTCTGCTTGTCTGCTTGACTAGCGCTGGAGGCGGCCTTGCAGTCAGGCCCTCAAGCGGCACAACGAATGGCCTCCTCTCTAAAATGCTTGTCAATGTCAAGCTTCATGAGCTCTTCCAAGAGGACTCCGGTTGGGAAGGAGGCCATGATCTAGAACTCACATCTGCTGCACTGCACACGTACCCCAATGCGACGGTCTACTCCTTAGTAGTGGAATTTGGCAAACTGCAGGCCTACGAGCCTCTTGTTGGTTTGGAGCAACTCTCTGTGAAGCCAAGTTTGGTACAGCTTCTCTCTACAACTATGAACAGTTATTTTTGGTGAGAAAAATGAGAAAAGGTTAAGCAATACTAGATCTCTGGAAGCAGCACAATCACGTGTGAATTGTCCAAAACCAGTTTAAGAAACCCAGGAACCAAAAAAAATCAGAAACTAGGTACACAGCAATACTGGAAGCAGAACAATGGCGAGAGAAAAACAATAACAAACAAGAAACCTCATGCATTGGATGCATTTCAACCGTTCCAAACCAATTTATTGATACTTAATATTACTAAAAAGTAGGGGGCATAAAAGCATAGAAAATACAGGGTCCAGAATGTAACCACAGATAATGATAGTCAGATACGGTGCGACACCCAGCAATCCCTGCACTTGTGTTTGCTATAGCAAAAGCCAGCTCAAGCCAGGTGATCGTCTTGGTAGCAATCCTTTGGTGATACACTTCTTTTTCGATTTAAGTTTCGACATACAGTGGTTCCATCTTCCAAGGCACGGAAGTTACTTGGGGCCAACATCCTTCAACGCGCAGATCTGCTCCTCCCCCATAGCAGACTGGACGGTCACAACAAGATCCTTCCCGCTTTCAAACCCTTCCTTAATCTGAATACAAAATGCAGAAGTGATAGTTTATTGGGCAATATAAACAAAAAAAAACAATAACTAGAGGTAGATACATTAACTCAACTACAACGGATACAAGTTATGCAACCTACTACTTCCAATCAACAGCACAACAGAGTGTAGGACAGGTATAATGAAAATCTTTATTCAACAACTCATGTCAGTTTAAAAGCATGCAATTTTGGTGCACTTTCAGCAATGTTTTATGCAACATGGATGCCATGTCGGATCATATACAAGTAAAGGTAATAGTAGACAGACTAAATACACAAGGACTGTCTAATTCTACAAGGCCCTACTTTCCACAATCCTTAAGGGCGTACCCAGTGCAGAGAGCTCCCGCTCTGTGCGGGGTCTGGGGAAGGGTGTCAGTGGCAAGCCTTACCCTCGCCTGTGCAATGCGAGGAGACCGCGACTCAAACCCGGGACCTTCCGGTCACAGGCCCCAGGACTTTCCACAATCCTTAAGGCACCAAATCAATTAACAACTTCAAGGAAGAGAAGCTACTGAGAAAGAACATATGACTAAGCTAACAAATATAACCACCATCTGTAATACTTGGAAGCCAACAAGAAAACTAACAGGACTTAGGATGGAAAATGTTTCCAAACAGACCTGGGCCACGAGAGTATCATCAGTTGGGAGTCTAAGATCATCCTTAGTGTTGCCATCTGAAGTAAGAAGGCTCACCTGAAACAAATCAAATTAAACTAAGACTGAATCTAACATTTAATTTATAGAAGAATGTAGCTTTACTGATTAGAGGAACATACAAATCCATCCTCTGATATGTCAATCAGCTGATACTCAGTACGGTTCACATGCGGAATCTAAAAAAAAATTGAACCTATGAGTGGCATATCAAGTGAATCGTCAAAAGAACTTAGCTAAACAGGCAGAAATTAACTTACGTCACAGTTGTGTGAAGAAGGAACAATATCTTCAAGCTTTTTCCCGTTGAATATGTCTATGGCAACAAAGTGGCATTTGGCGTGGCCATGCTTACCAGTCTTTGAGGTAGAAACCTCCACAACCTGTAGCATAAGTTATTTTTAGCAACCATATTCAACAAACAAACTCAATAAAACAGTAACGTGTGTGTGATGCGGCTTAAGAGCAAGGAAATTCCAAATAGTTTTAGGCACAAACATGGACTGTTGCTGCTATATCATTCAAATCCTTCAGAAGCTCAACAAAATGCAAGGGTAAATAAACAGAAGTGAGCTTACTATCACCTTATGATAATACAGTGACATAAAGGACGGTATGCTAATACCACAAAGATGATTTTCCAGGTTTAGAGTTAAGAAAGAGATACCCTGTTTGATCATCGCAAAACAAGTGGGTACTCATTCTCTTTGACAATGGTTGCCAAACCAAAAGAAATTTCATTTTGACAACAAATTGGTTTTATCGATAAATAGGAAACATAACTTTCCAATTCCAATCCTACTCATTAAAATAAACAACAACAAAGGGTGTTCTACATCCATCGTGGGGTCAAATCAAAACCCTGTCCAAAATGTAGGGACATATGCTTTTTTTATTAATTTCAAACATCACTAAACAGCGTAGAGCCCCCTAGAAAACATCACAGAGTCAGCAACATCAAGTTTACGTCTATGCCAGACTGACAACTGAAATCTTAGATATCAGGATAATGTATTTTCCCTAAAGCACATTATCTGTTCGATCTCTTATTCCCGTTATCTTGGAATAATGGAAATCGGATAACCCTCTGATCAAACTTCAAAAGATAAATTGTTTGATCACTTGGGTGGTAGCTTACTATAGATCAAGGGGTACAAACATCCTGACCATGGTCAAGGACAAATAATGAGTACACTTGAATGTTCAATGACAAGCTTAGGGGATAACAAATAGCTCAACATGCCAACTAATTTTCCCCCTTTGTAAGGAAAAAAGAATAAAAAAGGTTACCCATTTGCTACAGATTCAGCTACTTATATGGGCAGGGTGCAATCTACTCTGACTAAATGTCGTTTTTTATCTGATCTCTTGAAAAGCAGATCAGATTTACCACAGAAAACTGTTATTCTGTGAAGCAAAGCCCAGTCCTAGTAACTCCGGCTGGCAATAGCAAAGTCTGGCATCAACCGCGACTCCCACATCTCCTTCTAACTATCAGATATATCCAGCATCCAACTCCCACGAATTACACCCCCATATAGTGGGTCAACCATCAAAAGATAACAGTAACAGCACCTATTCCCATCAAGCAATCACACTATCACAGTATGACCAGAGACGACTACAACTACATACGTCTCCATATCACCAGTTCACAGCACAACGACGCGGATCGATACTAATCGACGGCCTCAAGCCGATCCCAAATCTAAGCACGCATATACCTTGCAGGGACGGCCCTTGATGACGAGGAAGCCGTTCTTGCGGACGGTGCCAGCCTGCTGCGGGTAGGTCTTGGACGCACCAGCGTCGGCCTTTGATTCGAAGTGGTGCTCCTCCGAGTCCGACATGGCGATCCCTGCATAAAAAAAAACCCAATCCCCCAAACAAGATCCGAAAATTAGCCTCGATTTAGATTCCCCATATTTCAGGAAACAAAAGAAATCACAAATCAAAAACCAGAGCAACTAAAATCGCAGCCAAATCTAAGCGGCGGCCGGTCAGAATTTCACCTGGCTTGGATGGGTCAAGCGGAGGCGGAGGACCAGGGAGGAGATGCACAGGCGGATGATAAGCGATAAGCTCGCGGCGAATCCTAGGGTTTCAGGATATTTATACTCATAACAGCAGGTGCACCCACCGCTTCCACCCGAGGGGAGACGGTGTGTCTCACTGACTGTGGGGTCTGCAAGATAATGGGCCCGCATGTCGGTGGAACGGCTTTAGGTGCAGATGTTGAGCGAATCTGAACCGTCGGTTTGGTCGGGGGGTCGGACCCGTGTACGGCTCCGAGGGTAGGGCATCTTCTCGCGTTTGAATCACGCCATGGACGGCTGAAAGCGTCTTTCCTCCTCCTTTTTCTCGCCTTTTTTTTCCCCCTTTGCTTCCTTTCCTTTTCTTTTGATTGAAACACTTTTCGTTTCCTTTTCAGCGTCTCCTTCGCTGATCAGCGATAAGAAAACAATTGTGCGATAAGGGCGTGATTGGTTGCCAGAACCGGGCCGACATTTGGGCCATCCTGCATACTTCGGTGCATTCGGCTTTGTTTGGTTGTCCTACTCGTATCTTTCCTCTGCTCCCTCCCGTGCAGATTCGCTCCTCCATCCCGAACGTCGCCGTCTTTTCGATCCCCACTTCCCTCTCGGTGCAGGCTGGCTCGGTGCTTGGCGGGAACCTTCGCGCGGAGCGCGGGAGATGAGGCCATCCGGGCCATAAAGCGCGCGCGGGGGTCTCGGCTAAGGTTACCACCCTCACTCTTCGCCTCTCCTTCCGCCATAGCTCCGGTGCGAACTCCCGTCTTGCTCCCCCTCGACCTCGGTAGCCCTACCGAGGCGATCCTCACCGACGGATTTCTCTCGGTCCTCCGACGCTTGGACGGTATATATATGCCACCTGTGTTCTTCCCCTCCTCTTCTTCACTGTCGATTTTTTGTTGATTTGTTGGTGAATTTTGCTTGAAATGCCAAGAAATCAGGGGTTTTGGTTTGACATCCTCAGATCTGTATGATGCTATACCTGATTTACCTGTTCCTAGCTCAGATCTATACATGATGCTTCGTTTTTTGTTTATACCTCATGTTTTGTGTAGATCTTGTACATGTTGATGCCTATTTTGTTGTACACACTGAGCAAAGTGCATAGGTCAATGATGTTGATTGGTTAACAATATACGCCGGAGGAGCACCCTTTGGTGTGGCAGCCGCGTCTTTCATTGTTCATTTTGTCTGATTTGTTGCTTGCTAAGCAGTACATACCCATGTTGCATGCTCGCTTTCTAATGTTGCCCTCCATCCTGTTGGGGTAGACATGGCGTTTGAAGCTAGGCGAAGGGCTGCCGCTGCTATGGTTGTTGCAGTGGCGGCTTGGTTTTTCATGTGGTTTAGGAGGAGAGTTAAAGATTCGTGCTCAATCACCTATGGTCCCTTGGCTGAGAGAGACATACAGAGGATGAACAACCTTAGATACATCTATGATTCTGATGATGTGTACTGTATCAACCTTCTTAGAATGAGGAGGGTCCATTTTTCCAACTTTGTGACCTTTTCCGTAGTAGAGAGCTTGTCACTGACAGCATACATGCATCTGTTGAAGAACAAGTAGCCATGTTCTTGCATGTTGTTGGTCACAATAAGAGGTTTAGGCTGGTTGACCTTACCTTCAGGAGGTCCGCAGAGACAATTAGTAGGTTCTTTCAGAAGGTGTTATATGCGGTAGGAGAGCTGAGGAATGAATTGATTGTCCCTCCTGCTACCAATGTCCATCCTAAGATCCTTGGGAGCAGAAGGTGGTACCCCTATTTCAAGGTTGGTATCCATAACTTGTCATACATAGGTCTCATGCATTATCAGTTTAGTGTTAATGTTCATTTGCACTTATGTTTTTTCAATTAGGACTGCATATGAGCAATTGATGGTACTCATGTATTAGCTAGAGTGCATGTGAAGATGCAAGCTGCCTTTAGAGGCAGGAAGCACACCATCACACAAAATGTGTTGGCAGCTGTGGACTTTGACCTCAGATTTACCTATGTGCTTGCTGGTTGGGAGGAATCTGCACATGATGCTCTTATCTTGTCTGATGCTCTTTAAAGAGATGATGGCCTTAGAGTGCCATCAGGTATCATTCAAACCAAAAAAAACTTTGACACTTTGCTTAATCCTAAATGAAACTACTAAAACATGTTCCTATCTGCTAATTTTTAGGCAAATTCTATCTTGTCGATGTTGGCTATGTAGTGATGCCTGGATTCTTGCCACCATTTCGTGCCACAAGGTACCATTTGAGGGAGTTTGGTTCAAACCGACCTCAAAATCAAAGAGAGCTTTTTAATCTAAGACATTCGTCTCTTAGAGTAACAGTTGAGAGGGCTTTTGGGGTTTTAAAGAATAGATTCAGGATATTGGACAACAAACCTTTCCATCTATACAAGACCCAAGTTAAGCTTGTTCTAGCCTATTGTATTCTTCACAATTGGATCCTCAGGCATAGCCAGGACGTGCTTTGTTCAGATGACTGAGGCTCATAGGATCATGTGGCTTAGGACCTATCTGAGCACAACCTACTTTGCTTAGATGCATACTAGTGGCCTCTCCACTTTTGCATGCTAACTGTCTTATGCTGTAGGAAGTATTTTGATGTGTAGCACTTACCTCAACTAATGCTACAAAGAACCATTTACCGCCTAACCAAGGCTGCACCTAGTCTGAAATAGTATAGGAGCCATGGTGATGGATGTGAGGCTTTGTTGATCTGTGTCGTGTAGACATTAACAACGGGTGATGGATTGTCACTTAGTTGATATGAGCCCTAAAATACCTTAGATTGTCAGTTGATCTGAGACATTTCAGATGCTGTTATTATTCTTGTAGGAGTTCCTTTTTGGCCAATGATGCAAACTATAGCAATCTGAGGTGGATGTGGGTATTCTTCCTGTTGTTGCTTTATTGTCTTTTTATGTTTTCTCATGTCTTTCATCAAACCGTAGGATATGTCCATTCCCAAGCAACTGCTGTAGGCATGCCTACCAGATGACTGGGATGGACGTGTCCCACGCTTCCATGGGAGTCATGAACTTGCCTTAGCAATTTGTGTTATTATTTGGCACCTGGGATGATTGCAGTTTTTGACTGAGGCTGATACAATTGTGAGATCCTTTTCATACCTATGAAGATAACAGTGCCAGTTTGAGTAATGGATTATGCATATTGTGGACCTTGGACTTGTGAGGTACTGGAGTATTATTTCTTCTATCTTCTGCTTATGATTTTCATGGCTGTAATCAAACCATGTGAGACATCCATGTCCAAGCGAACAGCTAGACAATTCTGATGATCCGATGGCTAGGCTGGATGCCTCTCATAGTTTCATTCCTGTCATGATCTTAGTTTTCTATAATCTGTTTGAGGTTTGCTGCTTCTATGTTTCTTAAGCTCTAAGTTCAAGGTCAAATAAAAAGACAATTAAATCTGAGATAAATCGATTGAACTACCCTTCATTTTGTCAACATCTTATATTTGATTTTATGTGTTTTTAAGGGGCAAATGGCTTGGTATGTTGTGTACCGTGGAAGAGTACCTGGGGTATATTCAACCTGGGCTAGATGCAATGCCCAGGTAACTGGTTTTAAAAACAACAGCTACCAGAGCTTCCCTAACAAAGAAGAGGCAGAAGCATCATACTTAGAGTTCATGGGCTGTGAAGATGATAAAGTTTTTGTCAATCCTCCACCAAAAGTGCTCAGCAACAAATCGGTGTTATTTGTTGTGGCTGTGGTGCAGTGTTTTCTGTTGCTGGTGCTCCTGTGGTTCGTTCTTGCTCGTTGCTACAACTGTCTGTGATGCTCAAAATGCCATAGCTTGGTAAGTTGCCTGTTGAGGAAAGTAGCCTGGGTCTATGCTTGAGTTCGGTCGTTTATTTTGATGATGCTTGAGTTTTTCATTGCTAAGCATTGTTGTAGCTGCCTCTAATTGTTTCATATTGCCTGTGATTGTTTCAAAATGGTGGAGACAATGACCTTGTGAGGAACTGTGACTTTTGGGCAACCAATCATGTCCTTGTTCATGATTTGCTGAGAGTACTATTGTCATGTTTATGTCATTAAAAGCTACAAGGTCATTGTCAATGCCAAGCTTGTTGAACTGAGGCAAAGTTATCTCTGTTTCCTTCTATTCTTCTTCAATTTGCAATAGCTGGTGGTAACCACACCAAACTCATACATGGGTACTCAGACCTGGGGCAATGCGGCCAACCAAACAAGAACTGGAATCACCAGTTCATACACCAAAACGGTGCAAACGGGGAACAAAACACGACGCTGTCATGTTCGCTTAGCTGATAAGTTATGGCTGAAAGTACTGCTGACTGATTTGTTATGGGAAGAAAATACTATTCGTTGGCTGAAAAAGTACGACTTATAAGCCAAATGAACGGGGCGCTTACTCCGATGATCCGATCGGGTCGAGATTCGTTGTGAGAACGCACTGTTCTTGGATCACAATCGTGCGGAAATATATGTTTGTAGTAAGAGCAGCTCGTGTAGTGAAACTGAAAAGTCAAACCATAATGAGAGAGAAAGAGTATGCTTGATTTAAAGTTTTAAACACACGATTCCTTACCTTCTAGTTTGGTTTGAAACATCAAACTACGCAATAAGCGGAAATAAAACACAGGCATAGGGAACAGACTATGCAATAAGTGGAAATAAAACACACGATGGGAGCAGAAGACGACGCACTGGTGAACTAACGATCTGGCCACACAAAACTCTGCGTGCTCAAGCTCAATGCAGATACGCCGCCAAGCAAAAAAAATGTTTACCAATTAAATGACGGGTCGGATCGGATTAGATTAGGATTGGAGCGGGGAAAAATCATGACAAATTCTTTTAGTCTGAGGCTAACCCAACACAATTACAGGTGGGGTCGGACTATTTCTCAAAATTTTCTACTTCGGTTTTGGTTTTGGGGATACAAAATTCATGGTCCGAATACAACGAACTAGCGAGTCAGGTCGGGTAGAGATTTATTTTGATAAGTTGGGTCAAGCTGGGTGGCCATGATTAGGTTTATTGTTTACTCGACCTTGAACCCACCAATCAAACTCTATGCAGTATCTAGGTAGCGGCGAGAAACATCGGTTTTATATAGAGCCCACGGCTAGTGAACCGTAAAAAAAAATTGCTTTTTGAAGTCAACTCCCATACTAAACC